TTCCGCGACGGGTAGAGATAGTTCAGCATCATCACTGCATTCAGCACACGGCTCAGCGGCCTCAGGCACACGCACGCTGTCGTGCAGCTGCCCCCGCCACCCGTCTCCAGAACTTTCCATCTCCCCAGACTGAGCCTCTGTTCCCATGAAGTGCTGACTCCCCCGCCCCCCACCCCCGGCTCCCACCATCTATTCTCTCTCTGTGGACAGGATTCCTCTAGGGACCCCCTGTGCGTGGGGTCACGCGGCATATTCTCTCTGTGTCTGGCTTCTGTCCCTGCACAGAAAATACGCCCCCGCCGAGGGGGCACGTCCCCAGCTTTCCCCTCTCGGGCGTAGTCCCAGGCGCCGGATCGTCAGGTCAGTCTGTGCTCGGCTTTCTAAGGAACCGCCAAACCAGGCCTGTCTTTTTTCGGTCCTCCTGCTCTGAGCGTAGTAAATGACATGGACGGGTCACTGAAAGTGAGCAGCCCGGTGGCCCCTGACCGCGGCCCGTGCCTCGCTCTCCAGAGTCCGTTATGTATGCTCAGGGCCTGCCTGTCGACTCTGATGTCCTCTTTTCGTTTGTTTTGCTTTTTTGAGTTTCTTTGTTTGGGGAGAGAGTGAGCGAGCAGACGAAGGACAGGGAGACCGTGAAAGAGAGAATCCCACGCAGGCTCCACGCTGTCAGTGCAGAGCTCGATGTGGGGGTTGAGCTCACGAACCGGGAGATTGTGAGCGGGAGCCAGGTGTTTCACCAACTGAGCCACCCCGGCTATTGGTCCCGGTCATCCTGTCTCGGGGCCTTCGCCCTCACGGTCCCTCGGCCGTGAGGACCTTCCCCCGCAGTGCTCCTGCTCAGGACTCCTGCAGCAGCCGTGACGAATGACCACGGACTTGGGAGCTCGTGGCAACACAAACCCTCATTCTCTCGCAGTTCTGGAGGGCAGAAGCCCGGATGAGTGCCTAGGGGCCAAAGCCAGGTGCGGGCAGGGCCGGCTCCTTCCAGAAGCTCCAGGGCCGGACCCATTTCCCGTGCTTCCCCGGCGTCTGCAAGTGTCGCATCCTTGGGCCCCGCACGTCGCTCCGGGCTCCGCCTCCCTCTCACAGGGACCCTTGTGATGACGTGGGCCACCTGGATAACTCAGGACAGTGTCCCGTCTCAGCGTCCTTAACCCCGTCTGCAAAGTCCCGTTAGCTTCACGAGGTGACACCACAAGTCCTGGGATTCAGATGTGGGGTCTTGGGGGCCGTGACCCAGCCGGCCGTGTGTCGTCCTCCCGGTCGCCTTTCTCCTTGCAGCGTCCCGGGGCAGCCCCTCCCCAGCTGCCCGCCGCCCTCCCAGCTCTGCTGTGGCGTCCCGGTCCCGCCTGTCCCATCTTTGGTCCCCCTCCCCCGGCCTCTGAGCTCCACGTTGACAGGCCTTCTTCTGTGGCCCCCAGCGGTGGACCCCGACGCCCAAGCAGCCGCTGACGAGCCCACCTCGGACTCGGGGCCTCTCGGGGCCGCTGTTTTCTTGTGTTAACCGGGGGGCGGGCAACAGGTGCCTCCGCCCTGTGTGGGCGTGCCGCTCAGAGGTGGGCTCGGCTCACACACTCTCCTTCCTCCAGTTCCAGAAGTTCCTGAGTAAAGTGGAGGAGACGTTCCAGTGCATTTGCTGCCAAGAGCTGGTGTTTCGCCCCATCACGACCGTGTGCCAGCACAACGTGTGCAAGGTGAGAGGGGCGGCCGCGGGCCGGGCCAGAAGTTGTTGAAGGGATGGCGTGACCTCCCACTGCCCCGCGCCTGCCGCCACCCCCTGGCACGGGGGCTTTGCTGCCACGTGCTCCGGGCGCCCAGGCTGCCCAGGGCCTGGTCGTGGCTGTCCAGGTGGCCTCCCGGCCTTTGTCCTGGGCTCCCGTCACCCCCCTGCCCTGCACCTCATCCTCCCGTGCCTCCGGCATGCTGCAGAGTAAAACCGGGGACCTAGGCCGCCGCTGCCCACCTCCCTGTGACCTGAAGCCATAGGGGCCCTGTGCCTCTCTCTCCAGCAGGCCCTCGCCTGCCTGCCTTGGGAGTGTTCTCTGGTCCCCCCTCCCCTGGAACATTCTCCCCCAACCCCCACCATGGCTGTGGGTCCGGGGCGGGAAGGGCGGGCAGGAGGGAGGGCTTCCTACTGGAGGCAGCATCCCAGGTAGGCAGAGCGGCAGGGGCAGGAGCCTGGACGGGCGGGCAGCGGGGGCCTCGAGGGGACGAGGGGTGGGAGGTGGGCCCGGAGGGTAGTCCGTCTTAGGAGGGTGGGTGGGAGGGGAGCCTGGGAGGGGCTGAGACAGGGTGGGCGGGGGCGTCCCAGGCACTGGGGGGGGGGGGGGGGAGCCTACCGGCATCCCCGGCCCCGCCCAGTCGGTTCCCCGAGGCACCCCCAGTCCTGGCAGCCACAGCTGTCCCCGACACCACCCAGCGTCCCCCGGAGGCAGAGTCGCTCGGTGAGTGTGGTGGTTCTGCTGCGTCTTCTGGTCAGAGTCGCCTGGTAGGGACTTCTGTGCGGCCCGGGCAGGCAGTTTGAGAACAGGCTGTCCCCGCCTCCCGAGCGCCCTGCCCTGGCTGGCTGAGTTGCGGGGCTCCTTTCTCGCCTTCGGGCCATCTCTGTGCAGGCCTCAGTGTTAGCTGTCATGCCAGGGGAGGGGCTCAGACCGCCAAGCAGTGTGGCGGGTCAGGCCCTTCACTTTTCCATCCTTGGGCCCCGCTGCCCTGCCTCGTGGCCCGATCGGTGCCTTCGGCCGCGTGGCCGGGGAGAGATGCCCCGTGTGCCCCAAGCAAGGCTCTGCCCCTCCCAGCTGTGTGGCCTTGGAGAGCCACCCGGCCCCTCTGAGCCTCAGTTGACTCGGTGCAGAGGAATGGAGGGACACCTTCAGACTCCAGGTGACAGGTGCTGCGGTGGGCTCCGGGTCAGGCCACAGAGAAGGAGCGGATGGTGGGGGGTCTGGCAGCGAGCCTCGCCGTGGAGCGGGTGCGGGTGCCGTGGACGGACGGGCTGCTGGCACGTGGGTCTGTCCCCGCTGCTGATCCCTGGCAAGAACTCAGCCTCGGCCGGGGGGGGGGGGGGGGGAGGGGTGCTACAGGAAGGCGGCCTTGGCCCCCACGTCCTAGCATCTGATTTTGGTTTATTTTGTTTTCTTTGACATCTACTCGTTTTTGAGAGAGAGAGAGAGTGCGCGTGAGCAAGCGGGGGAGGGGCAGAGAGGGGGGAGACCCCGGATCCAACGTGGGCTCGATGGCGGGGCCTGAACTTACAAACCGTGAGATCATGACCTGAGCCACAAAGTCAGTCCACCGACTGAGCCACCCAGGTGCCCCTGACTTTGGTACTTGATTGAAAAATTATCTTATTGTCGTAAAATGCCCACCATGTAAAACTTGCCTTATTCACCATCTCCAAGCGCACAGCTCTCTGACATCAGGCACACCCACGCTGTCATGCAGCCACCCCCACCCTCCATCTCCAGAACTTTCCACCTCCCCAGACTGAGACTCCTTCCCCATGAAACACGGACTCCCCGCCCCCTGCCCCTCCCCTGGCTCCCACTGTCCGCGCTCTGTCCCTGTGGACGGGACTCCTCTGGGGACCCCCTGTGCGTGGGGTCACGAGGGATGTGTCCTTCTGTGTCCGGCTCCTGTCACTGCGCACGGTGTCCTCCGGGTCCGTCCACGCGGCGGCAGGACGTCCTTCGTCCCTGAGGCTGGATGATATCCCAGCGTGCGGATGGACGCTTGGGGTGTTTCCATCTTGTGGCCATTGTGAACAACGCAGCAGTCCACAGCCAGAATTTTGAGTGTGGACCCGAATCTTAGTCGTGTTTTTCGTCCCCGGAATCAGGGCCGTAGACCTTGCTGGCAAGGATGCGGGAGTTTTGCGACTAAGACGGGAAGCCACGGGCTGCGCACGGCGGTCGGATGTGCCGTGGCACCAGCAGGCTTTCTCCTGTGTCGAGTTTGTCCTTTCCCCCAGGCGCCCGACGCCATCCGTCAGGGGTGCACGCCCACCAGCGCTCGCATCCCTGTGTGCGGGGTCCCGGCCGGGTGCCTGGCGGCTCCGCTTGTGAGAGCGGGCGGCTGGCTCTCCCAGGCTGGTCCGCTGCTCTGCTCTCCCCACCCGGCTTTCTTTTCCAGCGGTCGCTCGGTTGAGAATCGAGTTGGAACCCAGACGGAAATCTGGCTCAGGGCCAGAGATCCTTCCTTCCCTTCCTCCCTGTCTCCCCACCAGCACATGTTTATGGAGCACATACTACACGTGGGGGTCCTGTGCTTGGTGCTGGTGGGGACTGTCTGGTCCGTGTCCCACAAGGACATTCGTGGAAGATGATTTCCGGAAGGTGGAAGGTGCCATTTTAAGACGGGGGGGGGGGGGGCGGAGGGTCTGGCTTCAGCTCAGATCCTGATCTCACGTTCGTGAGTTTGAGCCCAGCATCGGGCTCAGTGCTGACCGTGCAGAGCCCACTTCGGATCCTGTCTCCCCCTCTCTGCCCACCCCCTGCCCCCGCCACCTTGTGCTCTCTCAAAAAAAAAAAAAAAAAAAAAAAAAGACAGGTAGGGTGAGGGCCGCTTCTGACATTCGAGGGTCATCAAGGAAGGGCCCTCTGAGGAGGCGGCCCGAGCCAAGGCGTGAGTACCAGGAGAGCCAGAGGACAGAGCTGAGGGGCAGCGCGACCTCAGTACCGAGGCCTGGAGGCCGGGACAAGCTTGGAGTCCGTGAGGAGCCCCGGGGAGGCCAGGCTAGAGGTAGAAAGCGAGACCGACGGTCAGGAGGGGCCTCTGGACCCTGTGAGACGTCGGTAATTGTCGCTGGCTCCATCCTGGGGACGCGGGCGGCTGGCTCGGACGGTGCCACTCACCCCCCGCTGTCTTGCAGGATTGCCTGGACAGATCCTTCCGGGCGCAGGTGTTCAGCTGCCCGGCCTGCCGCTACGACCTGGGCCGCAGCTATGCCATGCAGGTGAACCAGCCGCTACAGGCCGTCCTCAACCAGCTCTTCCCCGGCTATGGCAGCGGGCGGTGATCCTCAAACGCTTCTCGCCGGTAGTGTTTTTTTTGGGAAAGAAAAAAAAAAAAAAAACAAAAAAAACGTGTCACAGGGGTCTTGGCCCCCTCTTTTGTTTTTAGTGGGCTTAACTTAAACAGGTAGCTTTTCCTCCACTCCCTAAAAAGCCTCGTCTTCCTGGTTTTGTTTTGTTTTGTTTTGTTTTGTTTTGTTTTGTTTTGTTTTGTTTTAACCTACACATTTCCCGGAGTTTGTATTACGGCTCGAAGAAAGAAGGAAAGAAAGTTGGACTTCTCAGTGTTGTGTTTTGGTTTTAGAAAAATACAAAGCCTGCAGTTTATCAGCAGAACAACAAACACAAACAATTTTTTCCGAAGATGGAATTCAAAACGCCTTGGCGCGAAGGCTGCTCGTGTTCCCGGCGCCAAGTTCCCAGAAGTTCCCGCCGCCGCCGAGCCAGAAGGCGCCCGGCCGCCCAGAACAATCTTTTTCAAGGTGCGTGGCTTCGGCCTCCGAAGTTGAAAGCGAGCGCATCTCCCTGACCGCGCGTCCTGCCGCCTAGAAGCCAGCAAGGCAGCGCCTGCTGGCGGCCCGGGGGTGGCCGGCCCCACCGTCACCCACGGGGAGGGTGACAAGAAGCGAGGAGCCCCCTCCGGCCCCGAAGCCATCCCCCGAGTTTGCTTTCACGTGGCAGCCGCCCCACGCAGAGCCCTCCTCCCCCGGGGTGAGCGGACAGGAGTCGCCCCGAAGCCGCCGCCCCCGGACCTCCGCACGGGGCTGGGCGGGCGGCCGAGTGCCCGCTGTCTCGTCTGCCGCGCCACGGAAGCGGACGTTCGAAGCCATGTTCAAGTGCCTTTGGGTCTTTTCTTCTGTTGGAAACGTGGGGCTCTCTTTTTAGCACTGAATTGCCGAAAATGCCAACGAGATCCTAAAACTGTGGTTAACCTGTTCTTCCCGATAGCGGGTGAGTGTTTGGGGGAGATTTCTTTTTTGTCCACCCTTTCCACTGAATTTTCAACTCCCCGATCGAGAATTCTAAGAGGGAATTTTTTTTAAGTACTTTTTTTCTGAATGAAATTTTTTTGTAGTTATTGTATATGTACCGAGAAAACTATAACTTAGGGTTTGGTTGTGTTTCTGGTTTTGTTTTGTTTTGTTTTCTTTTTTGGTTTTGTATTTTTTTGGAATGATTTGTTAATTTTTCTAACTTTACCAAAGTTTGCAGCTTTTACCTCAATAGAACAGGAATATTTTAAATCCCATAACTGCAGACAAACTGGAGTGGTGTCGTTTTAAAAAGTCTTTCTTTTTTCCTTATTATTAGGTTGTTAACGTATTAGGAAGAAACAGCGAAATCCTGTGTAGGCTTTTTCTAAACAGTTCAATATTCTTTGTCCAAATTTTAGATTCTTGGAATAAATGCCTTTTACAGATGCATTGGGTTGTGTCTTCTGTCGGCGAATGGTTTTGTGGTCTGCCAGGCGGGGACCTCTTCGGTTCCCCGTATTTCGCGTTCTGTTCACGAAAGCCCCAGGAAGACAGGCCTGGCAGGTGGCATCCGTCCCCTCCAGAGGAGAGGACGGACTGACGACAAGGCGGTGTGCCGTGATTGGGCTGGGACTTTTACAGGGCCCACCAGCCCGAGCCAAGGGGCCACATCCAGCCTTCCGGCTTGGAACCAGGGCTCACTTCCTGCTCCCCAAGGTCAGTGGTACTGTTCCCGTTTACGTGTGAGGAAACGGACAGCCACCCCCTCCATTAGGAGCTCGGCCTGAAGTCACATGATCCTAGAGAGGTCTCTGCGGGCCAGGGGGCTACTGACGGCCTGACACGCTCTCTTGTCTCCAGCAGAAGTTGGAGGTCAAGGATGGTGACGGGTTAACCATCAACTGCAGGGAAGGGCGCAGCTGAATCCTGCAGAGGGAAGAGTTTCCGTCCACCTGGTCCCCACACCTTTCCTTGACGAGGGCGGCTCTGACTTGATAGCCAGGAAGACATTCGGGCAGCCGTTTGGTCCTGGCGATGCATCACGTGTGCCCTTGAAAGCATGCTGGGTGGGGGCGGGGCAGAGAGCTAAAGGGGCCGGGCTGCCTCGCGGGTCGAGGGGAATGTTCTAGGTTTGCTGATGGTTGTGCTCCTCTGCGGAAACACTCAAGTCCTTCGAGTTGTAACACTTCTTGCATGGGTCATTTTCGTGGTGTGTCAAATGTCAACTGTGAACGCGCAGAGGAAGTGCCCCAGACGTGCCCCAGGCCGGCCCCCCAGCCCCCAGGGGCAGAGCACACGGAGGTGGGTTCGTTGTCGAGACTGTTGGCTTTTTGGACGTTCCTCTCATTTTAAAAGTTACGAATAGGGGCGCCTGGGTGGCGCAGTCGGTTAAGCGTCCGACTTCAACCAGGTCACGATCTCGCGGTCCGTGAGTTCGAGCCCCGCGTCGGGCTCTGGGCTGATGGCTCGGAGCCTGGAGCCTGTTTCCGATTCTGTGTCTCCCTCTTTCTCTGCCCCTTGCCCGTTCATGCTCTGTCTCTCTCTGTCCCAAAAATAAACGTTGAAAAAAAAAATTAAAAAAAAAAATAAATAAAAGTTACGAACAACGTCTCTTGTTAAAAATTAGCGAAACCCAGGAAACTGGAAATGCCGGGCAGAAGCGATCACAATATTAGGCGTATTTCTTTCCTGGTTTGCTTTGGTTTTTGTGGTTATGTAACTGCTTTATCGAGATACATTTCGCGTTGCCCTCAAGTTCACCCGTTTATTTTAAAAAAAAATTTTTTTTAACGTTTATTTATTTTTTTGGGACAGAGAGAGACAGAGCATGAGCGGGGGAGGGGCAGAGAGAGAGGGAGACACAGAATCAGAAACAGGCTCCAGGCTCCGAGCCATCAGCCCAGAACCCGACGCGGGGCTCGAACTCACGGACCGCGAGATCATGACCTGGCTGAAGTTGGACGCTTAACCGACTGCTCCACCCAGGCGCCCCTCAAGTTCACCCGTTTAGAGTGTAAAGTTAACTCGTTTTTAGTATGTTCAGAGTCCCGCGACCATCACCTTTAGTTCCGGAACATTCTCACCCTAAAAAGGAATCCCATCCCCCTCTCCCGGCCCCCACGAGCCCCCTTCCCGTCCGTGGATGAGCCTGTTTGGGACGTTTCACACGCGTGAACTCACACCCCGCGTGGCCTCTCGTGTCTGGTTCCCCCCCTGAGCGTCGTGCGTTCGGGGGTCTTCACATGGGAACACGTGTCACTGTTTCACTCCTTTTAAAGGCTGAATAATATTCCATTATATGGATTAACCACCCGTTTTTAAATCCACCCGGTTGACTTTGTTGTGATCTTTTTTTAAGTTTTTTATTCACTTTGAGAGAAAGTTTATGTGAAAGCGAGGGGAGGGGCCGAGAGAGGAGAGAGAGAAGCAGGCCTTGCATCGCTGTCAGCACAAAGCCCTGACCCGGGCTCGAACCCATGAGTGACGAGACCATGGCCTGAGCTGAGATGAAGAGTCAGACGCTTAACTGACTACCCCCACCTGGTTGACTTCATTTTTCCTAATACTTTTTTTCTCAGTTTATTTATTTTGAGAGAGCGAAAGAGAGAGAGAGAGAGAGAGAGAGAGAGAGAGAGAGAGAATCCCAGGCAGGCTCCGAGCTGTCAGCACAGAGCCCGATGTTGGGGCTCAAACCCACGAACCTCGAGATCATGACCTGAGCGGAAACGGAGTCTGATGCTTTACGGACCGGGCCACCCAGGCATCCCTAGTTGAGTTTTTAACGTAAACCTCCCTTCCTTTATTCTACTCTGGGTTATAAAATCGGCTCGTGATCCCTTTGGAACATTTGAAAACTGGATATATGCGGGGAAAAAAAAAAGTCAGAAGACCTACTGCCTTGTGCCGGTTTTCTCTTCATTTCCGTTCATTTCCCGAGTTACCACTCTGTCTAGCACCTTAGGAAACGAACAGATGTGAGCGGTGGTCTGGCGTGTGCATATTCGTGTGTGTGTTCAAAAATGTGAAATCTACACGGATGTCCAGTGATACATACTTGGAGTGAAATGGAACGTTGGGATTCCTCCTCTGAATGTACTTCTAAAAAGGAATTTTTTTTTTTTTTTTTTAAACACAAAGGAGATGCCTTTCCAACCATCTGTACTTCTGCATTAGACTGGCCTGTGTGTGGGAGGGGAGTCCCAGCCCTGTACCTTGCCCTTTTGGGGAAGATGAAGACCATTTAGAAATGAGCCCCCTCCAGGGCCACCTGGGTGGCTCAGTCGGTCAGGTGTCTGACTCTTGGTTTTGGCTCAGGTCACGATCTTCTGGTTCATGGGTTTGAGCCCCACGTGACGCTCCATGCTGCGGAGCCTGCTTGGGATTCTGTCTCTCTCTCTCTCAGCCCCGCCCTCCCACCCCCCGGGGCTGGTGCAGAAGGCCCCCTGGCTTGTTCAGGGAGAGATCCAGGGTGGCTCCCAGTACCAGCCTTGCCTGAGATTCGCACCTGTCTGCAAAGACTTGGAGAAAACCCAGGTGATTTATCCCCATGCGAATTTGTCCCTTTGAAAATTCTGAGTGTTTCCTTCCTACTTTGCACAGGACACTTTTTTAATTAAATGGCAACGATCATGCTTTTTTCCTAACCTTTTATTATGCAAACTTTCATACAGAAAGTTATGGTGAACCCTAGAATATTCCTCCCATCTGGATTCTACAGTCGTTCAGATTTTTACATAATAGGTGGTGTTTTAAAGTCTCCCTACACAAGATAAGAAAGTTGGCAACCTATTTAGGTGCTCTAATTAAAAAAAAAAAAAAAAAAAGGATTTCAGAGTCTGTGAAATCCAAACACCTGATATTTACGGTCTTAGAGGATAAACTTCGAAGTAGAATAAGGGTGGGGGTGGTGAGTGGGGGGGATCCCCTCCATTATTGCATCGTGGATGCTGTGTTGCCATGATCAGATGCGTTTGTCTTTCCCACTGGTTCGGGAGTTCCTTGGGGGCAGTTACTACTTGGCATCTTTAAAATTAAATTTAAACTACACGAGGAATGTATGAATATAGTCCCATGAGAATTGAAAACCTCCCTGAACAGATTCACATTCCCACTGACTACTCTTTTTAGCAGTGCGGATCTATCCCCTCTCCAAAGGTTTCCTTTTCTCCATTTCAGGGCGGCCTTTCTGTGTGCCTTGACACGGATGCGTGCCCTTAGAAACCACACGACACTGGTCTCTGTGTTTGTGTCCATAACGTCGGTTGCTGGATACAGAGTTCTGGACCATTCTGCAGCTTGCTCACCAACGTGGGTAGGGGATGGATCCAGGGCTGGGCATGTAGACCCACCTCGTGTTAAACTGCTACACGGTTGAAAGTCCTGTAGAGCGCCCCGTGCCCTCAGTTCCCTGCCTAGTTCCCTGCCTAGTTCCCTAGTGCCCTAAGTTACCTGCCTAGTTCTGGTGTAGAGCACCGCCTTGGAAACGGCTGCACCCTGCGCTGCAGCCTGTAACCGCTGAAGGCGTTGCATGAAGTACCTGACCTCCCGGGGTCCAGGGTGGATAATATTTACAATGTTACTGGAGAAACTCCTGCGGCTGATCTGCATGCCTGCCTGTGGCCCGGTGCGCGCCCCACTGCTGTCTACTGCGCAAGTGGTAACAGCAATGACAGTGGTAAACCCACTCGTGAGAAGCCACCCACGCAAGCCCTTTGTGTGTCTGGTCCCACTCGGTTCTTGCAACATCCCTGGAGGAGGGGCAGGCGGTGGAGGGAGCTGTTACCATCGTTAGCGGCTTCACAGGGGTAACCGAGGCCCAGAGAGGTCCCAGTGAGGCGTGGAGCCCGGCGGACCTTCGAACCTTGGTGTTAGGGCCTGTCTTGTGTTAGGGAACTCGGGGAAGCGCACCTAACTACCCCGAGGGCCTTGCGGGTTTGCAAAGGTTTGTTGATTGTGATGGAAATAAATTTGGCTTTTTGGGGGGCAGAGGAGGGGCGCTTGCTGCTTGACTTTATATTTCTCCAGTTCTTTTGTTACATGGATTGCACCGGAGCTGTCTCCCCGCCTCGGGATTTAAAGGAGTGGGAAACTCTGCGTCCAAGTTCCGGCCGCGAGTCTCGAACCCCGTCGCCGTGTCACCCCGGCCTGGTGCTGATGTTGTGCTAGGTCTCACGTACTCAGTTGCAGCCTGATAACCGGGGCGGGGCCCGGGCCCTGATTGGCATTCGCCTCAGCCAGTCCGCGCCTCGGGCTCACCCCGTAAGCCAATGCTCACTTGTCCCGGTGCGGTCGTGGGGCGGTCCCCGAGGCGCCCTTGTCAATCCGAGGCCCAGCCACCGTCGGGTTGGTGGCTGCTGCCTTGACTGGCGTGCACCGCTTCCAATGAAAACGGAGCCGGTCAGCGGGCACGTGGGTGGGCGCCGGCGTGTCCCGTCCGGCCAGCCAATGGG